TGTTTTTCGTAATTAATCCATATCTTAGGAACCACAACATCACAGCATCCTTTTTTTGCCTGTTTTATCAGTTAATTTATTTGTGTGGCATATACTATCCCATTGGCATGTGAAATATCCAGTGGCCAGGCCATGATCCATATGATTGACTCCATGCTACCAACTGTTCTTTTTGAACCTAGTTAAATATGGAAGAGGAATGAAGTAGTATGCAAAGTCCGTGTTTATCTGCTTGTTGCCTACCGGCAAACATCTCTTCTATTCACTCAATGCGGGATTTCAAACATGATCGTAATGCCATTTAGGAGTTTAAAGCCTATTTTAAATCAATTTCAAATCCGAATCTTACATACATGTTATATAATTTCAATTCTTTTTAGAAACGCAGTTTTTTCTGTTATCTTAAATTTGTTGATACGGTCAAGTGCGAGATTTCAAGTAGCTTCGCCATTTAAGGAGGGAATTATCTTATCACATGATTAAGATAATGTCCTTGAATTCCCAACCATTTTTCCTATTTCCATCTTTAATTTTACTTAGCGAATTAATTCGCTCTAATATAAAATATTTTCAGTATCAAAATATACTCATAAACTTATGAAAATGAAGAAAGGTCTTGCAGTCAATTTCGGGTTTACCTGATAATACTAAGTTGCCGGTATGCACGTAGAACAAGGTGCTAAACTTTTGTATGTTCCCAGACTAGAGTGCTTACTTTGTCTGTAAATCGGCCATATATTCACGTGGATAACAAACTTACATCGGTAAGTAATCAATACCAATTGAGGGAAAAATTCAAAATTAAATTACCTTGGGTAAAGGTCACTGCCATAGAGGTTTAAAGCAATACCACTTACCGCAAATAACAAAACAAGAGAGTTGCTGGACTTCAAAATGAGCTGTTTAATGAACATTGGCTTTGTAGAATTGGAAATTGGCATTAAAAGTGGAACAAAATATCCAATGACTTGACATCTAATGATTCCAAAATTAAAATTATACTAAAATGGTACTAATTAAAATCGTGGTGAGTAATTAAATTATGAACTAAATTAAGGAGAGTCTGACCGATTTTGGGGAATTTAAGTTAGTGGGGTATTATCTTCGACTATTCTCTTGACTCATGTCGGAATAATTTAGAAATTGGAACACGTTGGAGCACCGCATTGATGATGTGAGTTGACAGGACCAAATGAAATCGTTTCTTTACGAGTGCATTTGATTTATTGTTGTTGCTGTTGTTTGGGGTGGTGGTGGTGGAGTTTATAAAAGCATAGAAGTAGGATTGAATGTCTAACATTAGCCAAAATCACAAAAGGAGTAACCTACAGTATCAACAATTTGACCACTGTCATGCTCAAAACATAATTGATAACTTGACTATTCTTTGTTGCGTTCTCTCCCAAAATGAAGCGAACACTGATGGGTTAACGTTTTTATCTAAACAATGTGCAATCTTCTGTTCAAGACTATTTGCATTTAAGAAAGAATTTTTAACGCGTGTATCTTCCTAACTGTCACCTAAATCCATTCATTGTCAAATAAAATTCACTGTTGACAACAGTCACTTTTTAAATAATGACAGCAGAGGTGATTTGCAATCAGTATTCCATCAATTTGTTTATTTATTGAATCGTTTTATCGCAAAAAGGACAAAATTGAAGCTCGTGATGAAATATTTTGGGATATATGTTTATTAACCGACAGGAAAGACGTCCGCTGAGTCATGGATGAAATTGACAGTTTATATTTTTATATAAGAGACTTTGTAGCAGATCGCTACAATAGTAAAGCCTTGACTGACTCAGAAATCTCCATGCCAGATTAACCTATGTCTACCTAGACTACCAGAACTAGCTAAGCTGCTGCCCAGTTATAGAGGAAACAGGCGTATCGCACGGGACACATTTATGTAGGAAGTATATTGTGGTAAAAGTGTACACACTGTAAGATTAGTCATAATCAACATAGCGGATCCACTTAAACAAATGAAGGCTTCTGATTGGCTATTTGTTGTGCACGCATGCGATCACTGGTTAGGCGATGACGTGCCCCCCAGAACTTTCAACTACTTAGGTAGAAATGGAATTAAACACTTATCCACCATATCCAAGTTTGACGTTTAAATCAAAAACTATTCTTCTAATATAGTTCCAGGTTCTTATATTCTGCTGATTAAATACTTGAACAATCGCTCAAAAATTCTAATAGCCAACTGCCAATCATTTTAAAGATCGGCAATATATCGATTTCGAATAATGTGTCATGTAGCATTTGCAAAGCATTTTTAATAATAATATTAGTTTAATATTTTCGGTCATCCACTTAAAGTAAATTCATATTTGAAACTTTAGAAAAAAAATTGTAAAAATTTTGACTCCTGAAAATCAGCATAAATAAACTTCTTTAGTACAACCGTTATTGCGAAATTAAGTCGCTTTAGCATACTTCTTATATTTGAATGTAACATCACTGGGATCAGTTTTTTCCATCGGTCTTAAGTTGCGATATAATGCAAATCACTCTATCGCAACAGCGGGTCTCCACGACTTTAGAACCAGACGATTTGGCTCTTAATTTGGACAACAGGTGTATATTACTTCATTTTTCGACTTTAAGTGTGAATTTTTCTGGAATCGGCAATCATATTTTATAATACTTGTCTGTAAATTAATATAATTATGTATAAAGTAAAGCGGACATTATGCCACCAAACGTAGTTGGAATATGCTTTAAATCTGATCGTTATTTTTACTCAATATTATATATGAATAATATTACTTTCGGCTTTGATAAATTAATAATGTCATTGCTTCAACTGAAATATGTATATACACACACGTTATTATTATTTTATTACTATGTAAATAATCAGTTAATGTAAATGGGAGTGCAGTCACTAAACTTTAGACAACGCAGACATACAAAAGCCTGAAAATTGGGATTGAATCATGATTTTTAAAGGTTAGTGTAAATCGTTAGTCATAATAAACGTTGTAATGAAGTGAAACGTGACTTTTATGGTACGCTTGACATATTTTATTGTGTCCATGCTCAAGTGCAATGAAAAAAGCGCAATTTCGTGAACTTTTATCAGGGTTATTTCAATAGCACCCTGTGTCAATCGTAAATGGGGGAATCATTTACTGTATTGATTTTGCGGACTTTCTCAAAGAAACATACAAACAAAGAAGCTCAAAAACTTAGAAATATAGGATCCCTTCGTGAGTTCACAAATTATTTCTTTCAAAGTAAGAGTCTAATGAATAAACCGTCCTAACAATGAAACATTCGCATGTTTCGTTTCGATTGTCATTCGCGGAAGTGTGTCTCCATCTCTACTAATCCATGTCACATTAATCTAGGATTTGTGTCATGTAATGGGATTTTCAATACATCCTGTTTCGTTTTATCGATTTTTTCGACCACTCGGAAATGTAGTAAGCCTGTGGAATTAGCTTTAAAATTTATTCTTTTATTCTTTCATATTTTAAATGCTTTCTTATATTGCATTCGCATCCAAACAAACGTAATTTTCCAAAACTTTCTTGAGTTTAAGTTGCAATTTTCTTGGTGTTTTTCAGTCACACTTTTCAGAGGAGAAGGATAAACTAAAGTTGGACGATTTCTACCAAAAACAATCCAAACTGTTACTTGAACAAATTTTGCAATCACCGACCTCGGGGTATTCGTCATGCTTGACAATTCAAGGTAACCCTTCAATTTGATCAATCAACAGTCAAATTGTTATTTCCAGCTGAAAATGTATGCCTAAGTAGTGATAATTCAGGTAGATTAGTTGAAACTAATCTATTAAGGGTGATTAAAAATGAATATCCCTCCTCTCCCCCACAATTCCCCTACGACATAGTCCCGAATTAAACGAAATGTTTGTTTTGATTGTAGTTTTAGTAGTGTGTTGTTATTCGAGTAGTTTTAAAACCTTTTGGCATATAAAATATGCTTATCGGTTTAAACTGAAGCTTCTAGTCTCCCTGACATACCCCTTGGCTCGACTGACATCCCAGGTTTGGGCTTTGCACATTGATTTACGTTGTGTGCTGACGTGTGTGGTCAATTTGATTGGAAGCCTTCTTTAGACCAAAGATGAGTTTCTCGACCACTTTGTTAGTTTTTGCAAACAGAAGGCTTTGGCAACATTTGGAGATGAGTATGAAATCTGACAATAAACAATGGTTTAATCGATATCCATGCTTGTCATACATTCGTCCGTGTTGAAGAGTCAGGTTTAGATTAGAAGGAAAGCTATTCTGGTTAGGCTATATTGCTTCCTTTCAATTCTATTGCTACAAATATGTGGATTTACTATAGGGTTCACATTTAATGGGAGTATTTCATCAATTATACAAAATATTTTCCCTCGCAATTAAATTGGTTCAGATGGAACTTTCCATTAAAAGAAATGCAATTATGAAAGTAACTGAAAAATCCACTTTTTCTTTAAGTGAATGGTAGTTCAGTTAAAGTCTTTCAAAAGCCCAAACATGTAAGACAAAAGAGAGGGAGAGGGGGGGAGAGAGAGAGTGAAAATGGTTTTTTCCAAAAACAATTTTCTTACCTGCTGTAAATGTTGGAAGTAAGACGGATTAATGATTGCTAATTGCTGTGGAAATATTTGTGGATATTTTTAATTGGCAAAGATTTTTCGTATACTTTTACAAAAGAATAAACTAAAAGTGTTTCTTCAATCGATTAAAATTAGATTTTTAAGGTTTGAATAAACGGAAAATCTACCACATATGATTAGTTAATTGGCTTAACTTGAACCATTTTCTTGCAATTATATGCAATTCAATTCAATTTACAATGAATAAGAGATTGAGATAGGTGTCAGTCTATTTAACACCACATTTCACCTAATTAATCATTTAACAAATTGAAGGGTTCGAACGAAGAGTTGATGAACATGTTTCCCAGGGCAAATTTCGTCTATTTATATTGCTTTTGGTTTTAGAAAAAATAGGCTATAGATACTCTATATGCTACTTAGGGGTTTAAGTAGACGTGATTGATGTAGAAAGATATTGGAACCCCATTGTGTTTTTCAATCAAGGCTATCTTCAGGTCACGTTTTACCTCTTTCAGATTTCATAAACCAAACTTTCCCCTCTACTGAATGTGATTTTAACAAATTCGCTGTTATGCACTATCATGGAAAGGTAACTCAACTTAAAATATTGGAAAATTTTCCACTTGATCTGTGATCTGAAGTACATTCTATCTTACAATAGGAGGAATACACCCTGGAGAGCGTTCTTCCAAGACTGAACCCGTGCCAGGATAAGAAAGTGAACAAGTTGCTTAAAAGCTCAAATATTGCATTTTTACGAGATTACAACTTTATGCAAAGTGAGCTTATTAGCCTTCTCTTATTATCACTATAGAAGTAATTTACAGTCAATATTTATTTCACATTTTTTCTCCTTTTAGACTCTAATACAACTGAAGTAAGTTAAATATTACCCATTTTCCTTAAAGTAGTATGAGAAAGCTAGATTAACGTCTTTTTCTAGAACTTCGATGAAATTATTCCCCACATCGTCAATGCAAACGCCACTTTTAACCTTATAAGGCAAGTTATTTGCTAGTTCCTCAAATTATTTTCAAACCCTTTGATGATATATAACATTATTCACTTGGTGGTATATGATTGGTTGGAAAATTAGGCATCTTTTGAGTCAGAAAGGGTGATTTTAGAAGTGCTTGACTAAGAAAATAAAACTAACATGTATTTACACTTTTAGTGTCTTTGACGATGGCAGGTCTAGTTCACCTGATAATCACCCTCAAAGTACATGCCTTCCATTCTTACTTCCACCTCTATCTGGCAATCTCACCTCTCAACGCCATTTGAGAGTTTTCCAGGAATCAGGCCTCCTCAATTTCGCCGTAAACAATAATGCGGCTTCTGGCTTAACGGTAATGAAGTCGAATGAATTTCTTCGACAATTCTCGGTTCTCAATCATCTGCAAACCGATGACACCAAGGACTTGAAGGCTTTAGCAAGGAAACTGAGAATGGGGGGAAAGTTGCCATGTAAGTTAATAGCAAAAATTTCAATTTTTTAATTTGAATTTGGCGTTGAATTAAGCGTTGTATCACATTAATTTAAGATACCACTAACACATGGAAGGGGTTGAAAGCGTTGCCTCTCAGTCGGAATTATTTCAATGATTGCATAGTGAAAATAATGGAAAAGTGCAGACTGTCGACTGACCTCTACTTTGTGTCTTCTGATTGGGTATGTGATTTCAAATACTTTTCAGGGGAAGAAAATTATATTTTACCATTTATATCTCAAGACGTTTGTTAGAAGTAGGCTTTTGTATGGCACAAATAAGTATTTATTTTCATCAAATGGCAGGGTTTATGGTAGTTATCATTAGCCCTTTAGTTGACTTCGGGCTGCACAGAGGGAAGGAACAGCCAAAATCACAAGATGGGGAACAGAAGAGAGATTCGCAGACGTAAAAGAGACAGTCAGACACAAGGCAGAGAAAAGGTAAGATGAGTACTGTGAAAGGGGTCGAATATGGCATACAGTGCGGTCATGGTAGTTTGAAGTGAGAAGTCAACTGGCGGTTAATAGACCCTTTGTCGCACGCGTACACCAACCACAAATAAACATGGGATTGGATATTTCAACCCGATTTGCATTTATCAATTTTGAGGTAATGATTAGCTTCATGAAACCATTCTTGAGAAAAGCTGGATTTTGTGTATATTTTATATTAATATGCTGTGTCATGCAGCAATTATGTCACCAATAACTTGAAATAAATAATATTTAAATTGCATTGACCCATGGAAAACGTTTGATAATGAAGATAGATGCAAGATGTCCTAACAGATTTCCGGCTTATCTTGATTTAATTGTTTTAATTGTGCTTTTATTTTACGGGGTTATTACAAGTGGTCCTATTTATTACTATTTAATTTGGCCGGTTATTTTAGGTATTGCTCACACTATCTGCAGTGAATCATCTCAAACTGGAACTCATGAAGCGCACCATGTACTCTCGTCGCATTCAACGCTGGTGGCGACAACGTCGTCAGCAGCGACAAATGCTTCAAGATATCTCCAATTTCCTCATCACTACCTCTATGACATCCACAAACGCCAATTCCAACGACTATGGTGTTACGACCACACTTTCAGATTCTATCAAAAATGTTATTTTTCCTGCTGTAAATGATACAAGATCAACTAATGCAGCTGATTGTGACGCTGTACACGGACCAGTCTACGTAGTTGCAAATACCGTTTTGTCGAATGTCCCAGTACCTCAGAGTTATAGTCTTCCACCACAGCAGATTTCACCTCAGCGCGTATCACCCACTTCTCAGAAGTTCAACAGCAAAATAAAACGACCTCCACCATCTTCAGGCATAGCGTGGTATGAACCAAGATACCAGAGGCCTCCTGCTTTTCCCCCCGTTGCGCCCAAACCCGAGAGGGTGGTGAGTCAATAATTGATTATTTAAATTAAATCAATATACTCCCAAATCAAAACAATTCTTTTCAAACCTTCGTAGGTTTCTTTCGTTGAAAATAGTGCACCCCGCTATCTGAGTCGAAATCCGTCGACATCTGCTCCATATAACAATGAACCCCAGGAAACTAACCTCAGACGTAGTAGTAGCGCTCGAGCGTTCGATATTCAGCAACAAACTACCTACATTCCTGATTCATCATCAACCGTGTTAACCGCATCTAAAGATATTCGACCGCTGGCGCGTTCTAACAGCTCAAACGGGGGTTCAAATTTTAATCGGGAGAATCTGGGTGGAGTTCAGAGAAGAATTCGAAGAAGAGTGACAGAAATACCGGCAGATTTGGGTGCAAGGAGACCGGTCTCTTGGCATGTTGGCCAAATGGAAGCTCAGGTAATCGCTCACATGGAAAAACAGAAACTGCTGAACGGAGAGGTTTCACCTGTTCTTTTGAGGCGCAGGAATTCACCTGCCAAAGTATCAGCTGATGACCAGGTGAGTTTCTTCACTAGAACTCTTTCATGCCATCTACTAAGTCACATCTAATGGTGTGAATGAAAGACAGGAAAGACGATGGGTAGAGAAGAAAATTATTGGGTTGTGAAGAAATTGCTCTTTTTCACTCATCCTTATTTTGCTATAATTATATGCATTTTAACTTATAGAGACGGAGATCCACTGCTTCCGTTTTTGGGAAATATCAATTCGCTGATGTTAAGGCCGATGCAACTCCACAGCAGTCACTGTCTTCGACTTGCAGAAATGGAGAGGAAGACGGTCGTGAGAAGCAAGGCACCCGCGAAAGCAGGGTAGGACATGTTTGTAGAGATATGAAAAAGGGACGTAGGAAAGGGGTCTGCTTGGGTGCTAAGGAAAACAAAAGACTGATTCTGATTAATCTTCTTGTCATAACTCAACAATGGGCTCTTTCTAATGAATAGAAGGATTGAGATTCTATTTGTACTAACCTGGATTAACTGAGCCCACATACTAAGGCTGTCATAATACCAATTCCGATGCATACAAATCGCCGGGTTAGGAGTCTGAGAGGAGATTTAACGATTGTTCTGTGGATACAAATGCAGCGGATGTATTTCATTTAGTTCTAACTATTAGCTGACTCTCGGAAAGGATTTAATCATTTGACGTCCGAATAATATTTTTGAAAATGCATCCAACTGCACTCACGCGTGTCTCATAGCAGCAGACTGATGCCGCCGACGTGATGAGTTTGATGGTATATCAGGCGAAGGCTACATGGACACGTATTGAACATGTTTCAAACGGCAATAACTCCCCCAACTACGATACTAATACCAATGGACCTTACTTTGAAAGAGGACTCTATGATCCTAAGGGTGCTAGAGGGTTAAGGGCTCACTCTGTGCCCAAAATTAGAATAAGAATATATGGCAGTTACTAACTAATGTGGGGAACTTTGCACTTCTATTAAATGAATGAAAGTCTAAAAAAACGTGTTATTACGTCAAATTCCATTACGAAGAGGCTACCATTTGGGAGTCACCATTCTTCTACAAGCCTAACCATAACAAGATGCGAACATGCAAATAGTAAGGAAATATCGGTACCAGAGAGACCAATAGACGTAGCTAGACAAATTGAAATATGTTTTTCCACACAAAAGGAAGCATCTTGGGGAATTAGTATGAATTCTGCCTGCAGAAGATAGTTACCTGTGATTGAGCGTCAAGCAACTTAAGAGTTTGCAACAGGTAGAATGCTGATTGGTAACGAAAATGATTCTAGCTTGTTTTTTGTGCGAAACTCACAGGTTCCAAACTGTTGAATTGGTTGGAGCCCAACATCTGGGATTAATATACTCTCTTGTTATCGTTAGCTACAGTTAACTCAGACCCGGAGAAGGAGAGACCGAGAAAAAGGTGCTTACTTTATTGATCAAACTTTTTTAAAAGAATATAAGTCGTAATTATACAATTGGTGCTTGGATGTGAAATGACTGTCGGGCTGGTATTGATATGGGGCTAGAATGAGCGCCTAGGCGTCAAGAGCGGTAAGATCGAATGAATCTTTCTGCCTAGCAGGCTGCAGTCTTTCTTAGGGATAGAGACTAAGCAATTACTGTCATTGGGTAGTCCGAGGGTCAAATTGGCTAATACAGAGCTTTTCATTTTAGTGTCGAGACACTCGTCGGGTGACATCGGAGTTCCCCCAGTCTCGTTCTCCTTACCGGATGAGAAGCAGCAATGGCATAGCAGCTGGCCTTGCAGCCTCACGTTCTCCACCCCGATCGACCAAGTCTCCTGAAGCTCAACGCGAAGAATTTCTCAGAGTTCAATCGGAAATCAAGAGGGGAGAGTATAGACGATCTCGCGAACTCACCACCTCTCCACCTAGGCAAAATAGTCATTTAATTCGTCGAGAAATGACACCTGATATTCAACAACCTAGCCGTAAGTTCTTCCTCTCCACACTTAAGTCTCATTCAATTACGAGTTTTGTTTTCACATTATCACTCACTGATGACTCATTATAATATGTGATTGAATTTTGAAATTGAATGTAGCTTTGAGCCGTCGAGTTGTGCGCTATTAATATCAGGTTTGTGGATCATTATTTAAAGGAAACAGTCTCATAATCATTGTTATTTAACCCTGCCTTAGCCGCTAACAACATTGAAATATTTAACTTTTGTGTATTCTAAGGTCTTTCACTCTTGCATACTGGCGCAAATATAGTTAAATTCAATTCACTTGTGCTTTTACTTAGCTGCTCTAATTTGGCATGATTATATAATAACATAAACACATTTGCATCTCCTATGATTGCTGCGTAGTGAGTCAGTTGATAGTTTAGTATTTATATCATTACTATTATAATCAATAATAAGTGCTCACATACAGGTCAAACATCTTTGCAATATCTTAGCTATAAATGACTTGATGACACAAAATTCTATAAGTAATTACTAACTACTTATAGTACATATATCCGTGTTTTATGGGCAACCTAAAAATTGACCCACGTTTCACCTCCATTTAATAAAAGTAGTATTGTCAAAGGGTGTACATATTAACTAACAGGGTCATTGTTAGGGAGTGAAACCATGAAGCCTCTATGGTGGAAGTCTCGAATGCTACCTTCCTCTCTTTCTTAGCCATCTTTAACCGATTCGGATGCCATTTCATTCACTGTGTGTGTAAGCCGGCAGGACTCGTACCCGTGACTTCTGTGAAGTCTATCCATAGTTTTGCGATAGACTTACCTCCACGTGATGCATCCTGGGTAACGTTTACTCATCCGACAAAATAGTCTATTATTCGGCAGTTGACTTCCGACTTCAAACTACCATCAGCCCACTGTATGTCAAATTCGACCATTTCAACAGTACTCATCTTACCTTTTCTCTGCCTTTGTATCCCTCTGTCTCTTTACATCTGTGAATCATTCTTCTTTTCCTCCTCTCTGTGAAGTTCGAGGTCAGCTAAAGGGCTAAAGATAACGATCAAAACGCCTGCCATTTGAAATAAATAGATAAATAAAAGTTTTGCAAATGAATGTCTAACTGCGGATATTTCATGTCTTTTTTAACTGTGTAACTTTTAATATTAAAATTAGAACTTATGTACAAACTTACTATTCTATAATTCTTAGAATTAGGGTATTTGTTTAAAGCCATGGTTTCTCCTCCTGAATTCATTCGAAAATACTTCTTGATAAACATTTTCCATAATTTTTGCTTCCTCTACTGCTAGCAACCATTCATTCAACTTTTAGCTACCTAAAATTGCGTTATTTATGCTAAATAATTTGTTTTAACTCCTCAAATAATATTTACTAAAATTCTATGTCTCTGTCAGCATTTCAATCATTCTTGCCTTAACATTTTGCCATTCAGAACGTGAATTTTATCATTTAAAAATTGAAGTTTGTTTGTTTGTCCATTTTAGATTCTCTATCTTCGCACTCAACGAAAACTTGTTACGTAAGTTTAACCTTTCCAGATATCAGTGCTTTCTATGTGATTCTAAGTTTAAAACTAGAATGGGCGTTTTATGCTCATCTAAGTGCTTGCTATTTGCTATTACCTGACGAAAATGCCTCCTATGAACGTTAATTAAAGCACTTTGTCGTGTTTTGAATCAATTAAGAACTCCTCTTTGTATGGATCCATCCCCGATTTTCGACTGTTCTCTTCCGATGAACCAAATTACCCCCAAACCCAACCCTACTTTACCAGACTGGAACACGCTGAAAGGATGAATGGTGCAGTCTCAAAGCAGTCTCATGGAGCTCCTCCCAACAAAATTCTCAAACCACCTCATAACCCCCCTCGTAGACGACCTGTCAGCACAGTTTTCGACGGTCCTTTGACCCCAAATATCTTCCCATTTAACCTCCCGTCCAGAAATCATTCACCTCCTCGTGAACCCATAAGACCACCTCGTATGACCTTCTCGAGCTCTCCTATGGATGGGAAAGTGATTATACCCGTGTCTGGAAGAAAGTCGTCCTTACCTGCGATGCCGATTTCTGCAAGACTTCCTGTGAACGCCTATGACATGGATACTCACGGTTTGAAATCAATTGGAGGCGGATGTATTAGAAATTTCTGCTACGACTGAGAGCTGAAAGATTTACTCTTCACACTCCCCTCCCCCCCCCCCCCCCCCCCCCCCCACCTTGCCTTCTTTTGTATATGTGAGATGTTAATTTATTTGACTCAACTGCACATTACCCCCATCTCCCTCCCCCTCACAGCATATTATCACCTACCCTCAGTATCTATTGACAGCTGTGTCACCATATTCCTTATTGTGACTTTAGGAAGTACCAAATAAAACTATCTTTACCATATGATGTATGCCCACCGTTAATTAAGAATACCTGACATATTCCTGGACGTAAGGTTGGCATTTAGACAAGATGAACAGCTAGAAGTCTGTATTCTGTTTCCTACTATTGTTCCCTACACATAAGGGGATGAAGAAGATAGATGAGGCAAACAGCACGCTTATTGGACAGAAAGTTAGTGCGCAGTACGAAGGAGTACATCGGGACTAACTGTAGTGAAAATTAAGCAGAACTGATCTGCAGAAAAGGAATTTCAGCGTTTACAGAGACAGCGTGAATAGTTGAGCAGATCTCAGCAAACCGGTAATTTTGATGGGCGTTTTATTCCACCGAATATAAGCCAAACGCTCAAGGACTCATTATAGCCCATTTGGGGAGCTTGAGGTTAAATTCAGGAATTATTGACTTCAAGTTCTGTATTGGGAGCATAATGATGTGAATTTTAGATAAAATTCAATAAGTTTCCTACCGGAGAGAATGGAATTTCCGCCATAACTTCGTTATCATACTTTAAATTGAGTCACCGAGGTTGTGTTTTAATAAGCCGAAAAGCAATAATTTCATGTTTTTTAAGTTATATTAATGGTTAGATCCAATTGGCTACATTTTGAATTAATTATTTTTTGTCTCTGACTTAATTTATAAAGTTGTAACGCTTCAAATTATTGCAAGAAAGCAGGTCAACATTGTAGCTGAAGTTCGAAATTCAATATTCAAAATTTTTGTTCTGTTCAGCTTCCAGTTATCTGGCAGCTAAAACTTTCTATTATATTGGTATTTGTAACTGTGCTCTCTTTGAAAGATTCATTTCGAGTTATTTATTTATTTATTTCAAATGGTAGGTATCATTAGCCCTTTAGTTGACTTCGGGCTTCACAGAAAGGAAGGGGAACATCAAAGTGGCAAAAAGTCGAGAGAGGGACAGAATAATAATTCACAGGCGTAAAAGAGACAGACAGATACAAAGGTAGAAAAAAGGTGATGTGTGCACTGTGGAATTAGTAGAATATGAAATGCAGTAGGGTCTTGGTAGTTTGGAGTCAGAAGTCAACTGCCAGTTAATAGACTTTTTTGTTGTTTGAGTATACGTTACCCAGGCTGCACCACGTGGAGGTAAGTCCATCGTCCATCCCCCATTTCGAGTTATTGCTTTCCACCAAGACATAAGCACTCCGGACTCAACTCCTACCCTTCATCCACTCCTTTCTAACCGATAAAATTGACAAATTCATTCTTGGCGCGCACAGTAAATTTCAGAATACTAATGTTTTATTCTTTTAGTTCTTATTATCATGGTAAATTTAAAATTTTTCTAGTTTTAAACTGAGGAAAGATCTGAAAATTTGAGGTAACAGCATAGTTCAGCAACGAATAAAATGCGGAACAGACACCATTCTATTTTTTCACTCGAGGCGGGGCGGTGCGCGCACTTTTTGGTGATGAGGGGACGCTTAACAAAAGGAGCAATGAAAGCGATTTAAGCCATGTCCGAAGGGTTTTCGCGGCGATCAGCGAATTAAAGCCCTATCACATCTTGTCTTTCCTATCTTCAGATTGTCTACATTTTAAGTCCCTTTTAGTGTGTTTTAACTTTTTCATTATCATCATAAAAATTTAAATTCTCGGCGACATGTTCTCAAGTGTTTTTCCCATCTCGTGGCAGTCATTCACTGGGAGCATGGAATTCAATCACTTTTGAAGCATCTTTGTTTCGTCGATAGTCGATTCAACAGTGTCTTCTTATCTTACACGCCTTTGCAGAGTATTCCTTCTAAATATTTCGCTCGAAAACTTTTATCGTTATTTGGTATCCGAATGGCATGCCATTTCTAAGCAAATGATTCAAATTTGTACTGACCTGCTGTTTTCACCTCTTTAAACGAGAACCTTTGAAATATTCTAATTTCGGCGATTCGGGAGTATCACCCTTGCTTGCTGACTTAGAGACAAACTCTACGCTTCCTAATTGGTGAATTTTTTTCTCACAACACTTTAACACTCATTTTTCATCTGCTTTACAACCCAAACATCAGTCACCAAGTGCTATCTTGAATGGTCTTTGACATTTATCGTTCACCTTGAAAGAGACAATAGTAGATAAAACTCAAAAAGGGAACAGACTCGAAGAGAGTATCAAGCAATTTTGCTCGAGTTTTGAACAAAATCACTTTTGATCTTAGACTTGGTCTTAGTACATATGATAGTATCATCCACATGAGAGAGGTGGTATGTATAGGTGGTTCACTCGATAAGCTCTATGTTCATCTATATGAAAATCGGAACTTATGTGCCATCAGACTGCTTTTCATGGGCCATTTTCACGCCATATTTGTTTATCGACAATTCACGTCTAATTAGATCATTCTTTGCATGATGATCAATGAAATTACTAATACGGCATAAAAGTCCTAAACTTAATCTACAGGCCCCGGAATAGCCACCCAATTCGTGCCAAAAAAATTATCGATTTTCGAATCCTTGCGGATTGCATATACTTCCACCAGTGTATATATATATATATATATATATATATCAAAGACTATTATATCCATGATCTGAATGAGAGTAAATAGGACTAAATCTTCAATTTCACGGTGTTGGTTTTTTACCTTGTGGCGATCGATTGTGAAGAAATCTACAACTCCCATAAAGAATTTCAGAAGTTTAAGCTTACCTGAACGCACCAAGTTTTACTTTCTCATTTACTCATTCAAACCCTTAGAATTCTTGCTTTATTAACTCAGGTTTAGATCTTGGCTAACAGGATTTCTTCTTAAAACTTCTTTCTTGATCCACGTGCCAATTTTAATGATATATTGTTTGAACGCTTAAGTGGACAGGATTTAATTAGCATGTTCCATCGCCAAAATATCGATAATCGATTTTTACCTTCTTTTGCCTTGTAATGACTAACATAAATCACCTCCGTTATTTTCACTCTGGTTTTAACATGCTCCGTGCAAACATTTGGTTCTCACACTCTCCCCCTCTCTCTCGCATTTAAATTACTGCCATTCAGTTAACTTTAATTTGAACAAAATTATTGGCCCAATGATTCGGAGAGGGTGATTACATAAAGTAAATTTATTAGTTTATTAGATTTGCATTGAATCAGATAATTATAGCGCACGCAATCAATAGCTGTGGAAACGAATCTTGAAGGACCTTGATCCTTGACATGTGTTTCCCTCATTCCCGAATTTGCTATAAGGTTCATATGTCCCAAAATTCGATCGAATTGGAACGACACTAAAATATGGATTCCAGTTACCAGACAATCGAATTTGGTGTAAATGAGAAATTAAAACTGTTTTCGCCTATATACTCCCATTTCCCACTGAGACTGCAAAATGAAAAGAGTTCTCTTTCCACCATAAGTAAATCAATTAATATAATATAATTAATATAATCGAAGCCATTACCTTTTCGGGTTAGAAACGTTAGAAGAGAAGGCGGATAAAATCTGCAAAAAAACACCAGTTTACAAATTATTATCATCAACTCATAAATGTTCCTTTGTTCAATCGACTTGGAGACCATTCTCAAGAACATTGCGGTGCAATTCTGCAGTGTTATTGCATTTACCGTCTTAGTTTTAAAAATCCATTGTTCCCTAGGGCTAAAAGCAAAAGTGAAAACGAAATTAGTACGAAAATGTAGTTATCAATTAATAGATTAGTCTAGATAAATTCTATAACTGTGTTGCCTTTCTTCCATTCAAGTTGCCCTATCTAAAAGATTTGAGTGATACGAGTAAAATCAAGCAAAAGAATACTTCGTAAGCTTTATCAGGTTTCGAATTTGAGCTTAGTATTATAACGCCCTACAGCCACAAAGTGTAATTATCATTACGAGAAAAGTCGTACTGTCTGAAATTTTATTTATTATTTTTCTTTCAAGAATTAAACAGACTCCGATTGGGTAGTTATTGTATTCGCCTTTGTGTGTGGTGTCACAGGCCAAGTGAATAGCATGTTTTTTACCCTTTAAAATCCATAATAAAACTCGCGTTTCCATTAAATTTCCGCCAAAATTTGACTACGATTTCTATTAATTACAAATGTCATTTTTTCTGGTAAATTAAATTTTCAAAGCAAATTGTCACCCGCCCCCTCTCTTCCAACTCCATCTCATAATATGAATGGCAGGAGGTCATGTTGGCCACTTTATTCTCAAAAATGATGTGATCACATTTTTGGGGGGGGGTCGAAGAGCATAATGCGACCTTGTATCTTTGTCACTTTAGGCTATTTTCGGCAAACAACAATATATTTATTGGGAACAGTAAGCTCTGAATGGGGTGAATACAATTTTATTGGGAGGATAAGACATATCTTATCATCGGGAGTGTGCCAGTATGATAACTCGAAACAATGCAGTATTACGGGTGAACAGAATTCTCTATGATCTACACCCGAAAATCAAGTTGTAAAGCCCTGTTTTTTTTTTAAATTACCTCAAATACTTGAAACGCAATTTATGCGTCCTTAAAAAGCTTCACATTGCAACTTTTAATTGAATTTACTTATGAGTATTATCTCGAAGAGTGAATAAATCGATTACTTCAGCACGCACATCTTTATGATAAAATTATGGTTGAGTGCTAAGTAGGCACTGAGTATATTGTGCTGAAACCTCAAACAGAAAAAACACAAATAGCAATCTTTATTTAAATGGATGATATAACTAAGTATAATATATGTAATGAAAATTTGGACTCTGTACAGAGCAATTACCAGAGGAAGGATCGTTATACTGTCAAAACTTTGTTAAATTTTTATGGCTCAAATTCTAATTCCCTTCTCTAACGGAATTATTCGTCTCTGACTTCCATAAGTGTGGATGGAATTATAATTAAGATAATTAATATTTCGAGTTCTTTTTAATTTCAAGAAAAATCAAGTGAATTAAGACCTAGAAGCTGAAATATTTGTCCTTTTTTAAAAAAGATTAACTAAAACTGCTAACATTTAAATGCGAATTCTCAAATAAACTAAAATAAAATAAAAAGTATGTTTAATGTAAATTAATATAAGTTACGATGATTAACTATTGATAGGTTGTTTGTGTTGTAATTTGAATGCCGATAAACATAACCTCTATCCAGCCCTGAGATCTTATTTCCAGACCTGAATGACAAGTTTTATAAATATTCAAACCCTGTTTGACAACTCCTAACATGCAAAGCAAATCTTTAATCTTACACGAAATGCTTCCGAACTCATACCTCTATCTCATATTTGTAAGCCAATGCATCCATTCTTCTGGTCAATTCCTCTCCATCTGCATCTTTTACTACCTGTTTCCAATTCCATCAGGTTGCCTAACTTTCGCTCTACCTCCTTTAAATATCCCATTGTAAAACTGCTCACAGAGTTCGGCCTCGGTAGAGAGGAGGTAGCCTGGAGAGCCGCATTTAGGAGAAACTTGCGTTCAGCCATGCCTAATTTTATCAAAAATTAACCACTGGAGTTCACGAGTTGACAATAATCCCCCCCCCTCCCGCCTTCGGGTTAGTAGAACTTCAAGTAGACAGTTGAGAATAACTATTCTTTGCTTTCACAATCTATGCTGCACCACACTCAACACTCAAATCCAACCTAACAATAGGTCATTGGCCATAATAAGATCCTTTCCACAAGCAATTATCAGAAAAATTTCACCAAGATTGAGCCATTGGTCACTAAAAGATCAATTGTGAAACTCAATTAACGTTCAGGGGAGAATTAAAAAAATTTGACCTAGTGCAAGTAAGGAAATTTAAACATTAGAAAGTAATTTTCAATTCTATGTCAATACCTTGTTATCCAATAAGATAATTCGGTTAGGATGTCAAATATGAACTTCATCCACGTAAATTAAGGTTATATTAGATCATTTTTTCTCACCCGAGAGAAGAGACCCGATTTTGATTGGGCCTCAGGATGGGTTTGAAAGCAATCGAGGTTGCCCAATGAAATTATCAGATTGTTGGGTCCCAAAAAGGGTCCATTCTAAAGTAAAATAAAAAAATATATATTTCTATTTTTACTAAGTAACAAGTTCTACTGTTAACTTTGAAGACTAGCAAAGTCCATTTCAATTCCATTCTTAAATATCAAATTTGGGAAAACAGTCAAACCAAATGATGTGATCTTGACACCGGTCATTTCTAACCCGGTGATCCCGATTGAAGATAATTCATTTAATCAGCAAACAAACCTGATAGGCTAATAAGGTAGTAATTTATTCTGCATTTCACCTTGGATTCATTGCTGGACCTCTACTATGACTGGTTATTCTTTACCTAAGCCAAAGTTGAGTTTCCCTCGTTGTTAACTCAATAATTAAAAAATACGCTTGGCAATCAGAAAAAATTAGGTAAGGAGGTTAGGTAATTATCAGTTCTTAGATAAGGGATAGACTTCTTCAAATCTACTTTCATCAGTGTAATAAAGCGTTACCAATTCTATCAGTTAAATGAATCTTCAGAAACTTGTCCAAGGGGTAGATATCTCCATATCTCTTGGGGGAGATGAATTCTCGTTATTGATCAGGATCAATCATTATTATGGTCATGTGTGTGCGCAGATTTATATATATATATATATATACATACATACATTGGCATGGAACATTTTACCGTCGAGTTTTCAAAGCAGACTTACGGGGGAGAAGGTTTTTGTGAGAGCTAGTTTCTCCATTGCCTTTGATCGTGGATCAGTAATCTCGACCGAAAGTTCAGCTAGACGTTCTTTCACACCTTTGTAAACTTTCTGGAAGTTATGCAACTCATAGAGGTCCTGAAAATCGGAAAAAAACAATAGCGTCAAGGAAAAGAATCGATTGTTCACGCTAGCGGAAAGTGTTTATTAAGCAGCCTTAATTTACATCTGAATAAAGGACGAATGGCATTCGCTTGATAAGGTACCTCGTAGATGTGGAGATATTAATGCGCCTATCAACGAGGGATCCAATAAAGTCATTGCATTCTGCTGAAGCAACCTGATAGACGTCGCAGGCTCTCTGAAGAGCTTTATGGCTGGCAGAAAGAAGCTCCATCACGGCATTGTCTAATTCTCTCCTTAAACGATTCCATGGTTGTTCATTTTGAACTGCGAGAGCGAGTTTTGTCAGCTCCTGTAACCGGGCTGTTAGTTCTGCAGCATGCTAATGTACCAAAAAAGGTTACAATATCGTAAGAAATAGGGAATATAGATTAAAATTAAAGGCACTAAATGTTGGACGTAGTGTAATTAACTTAAAAATATATAAATCGGCTTAGCAACAAAATATGTGAGCTTCCTTCTATTAAAAAACCTATGCGCATTCTCAAGTTATTATTATTTGCCATTTATTTACTTATATCAAATGGCATACTTTATGATAGTTATCATTAGCCCTTTAGTTAACTTCGGGCTTCACAGAATGGAGGAACAGACAAAGCCGCAGGATATGGAAAAGAAGAGTGTTTTACAGATGTAAAAGAGACAGACAGACACAAGGGTAGAAAAAAATGCGAGGTGAGTACTGGAGAAGAGGTCGGATAAGACATACAGCGGGGTAATGGCAGTTTGAAGTGAGAAGTCAACTGCCAGTTAATAGACTTTTTTGCCTTATGAATATACGTTTCCCAGGGTGCACCACGTGGAGGTAAGTCCATCCCACACCTCTTATTAGCCATTTAAAACTAAGGAT